TGTGCATATATATATATATAAATAGTTTTCTTGCTAGATAATTTCTGTATAAACTCGTTACGAAGTATATACTGTAGATTCACATAGTGGTCTTGAATTCTTGATCAGCATTGCTGCAAATTTCTGATTTCCTCGATCACATTTCTCTTCTAGAATGCTGCATATGACTTGGCTATATAGCAGGCGAGACTCGCTCTTGCTTATAATGAAAGATGAAAGGGGCCGTCAACTTTTTAAAGAGTTCTTGGAGAGTGAATATTCTACAGAAAATTTGTTGTTTTGGCTCGAAATCGAGAATTTGAAAGCGGCCGATACTCGCAGTAGGATGACGAAAGCCGCTAATAAAATGTTGCACGAATTCTTCCCGGATAATGAAGATATTATCAATCTGACTCACTCGGACAGGGTACCGTTGGTCGAAATGTTGCGGTTAGTGGTGTGCACACTGCGTTCTAGATTGATTATATATCAACCTGTGTCCAGAGGATCTTGCAAATGTATATGTACACTTCCACTGAGGTATTGGCCATGGGGTAGGCCTGATCTAGTGTAGTGTAATAGTATGTTCGCAGTATTGAATTTTTTTTTGGAGATTGATATGATACGAGTACAGAAACATGTGGGTAATTCTTAAAAATCGGCTGAGTGTGCTTGAAGTACTTGTCCAGGTTTTTCATTCTGCAATTCGGTTACAAAATCACAGGGACATGAGTTGTTATTTATACTGTTATAGAAGCGACTGAACGGTTTTAAACATGTGTTGACATATATAGTTATTGGCGGTATTTGCAGGTGTTTTCTCTTTTCGGTAAGACGAATATAATCGTACATACTTCTATATGATATTTTGTATATCAGTGCTCACTAATAATTGAGACCATGTCTAGGATACAATATTGTCTCATGCCTGATCACCCTCGGGCAGTAATATACATTCATCCATAAAGCACCAGAATTGTTTATATCAGGACAGAAGTAGTCAGTACAATCCGTGGTCGCTTACATTGAATAGCTTGTTCATATATTGCACAGCTATACGACTGCACCACTTGCAGCCATAAACATAAACAGGCTCCCCTTGTCCTAAAAAGCCACCCTATCTTTGTAGCACGCTTATACATATACATTGGCATATATATATAAATATATGTCCACTCCCTTGTCACTGAACAGGGCTATGTCGAAAATAGACGAGGGAAACGTGACTGGGATTGATGATGAAGTTGCGCTAAAAAGGTTAGCGAATCTTAAACATACGCCGAGCACGAGTGCCTTGAGTCCTGAGTGTAAGAGCGGCAACCGCATGACGCGAAGTCCCAGTGCTAACAGCATGGAGGATATGACTCTGTTGGAGGATGTACAGAACACTATACTGTCGCTGATGGCTATGGATTCCTTCCCCAGGTTCTTGTTGTCACCGTACTGCGACAACTATTTGAAAGTGTATGTCTTGTAGAGCTAGTTGTGTGGCTTGGTTGGTTGTGTGTACGGGGGTTCGCCTAAGTTGGTGTGGCTGTATGTTCGCGCATTTGTGGATGATAGAATGTACAGATTGCTATACTATATCCCTGATGACCGTGTATGGCCTTGATAAACCATAAACGAGTGTATCAGAGTGTACGCATGGTTAGGCAATATATTTGATGTAGCCATTAGTGTGTAGTTTCATGGCGTGTACGTGGACGCTTGCGCATGCGTGTGCATATGTTATATTTAATGTGTGATCGCCAACAGATTTTCCATTTTGGCCATGGATTGCTTTATCAGGTTCTTGGTGTCACAACATTCGACGGGTATACACAATTCATTGTTTTCAAGGGCCAGATTTTGATCGGGCCGCTTTAGGGGTTTAAAACCTTAAAACCCTTAAACCCTAAAAAGTGAAGTTGTCAAGCGAACTTGCAGAGTGCAATAGTCATAAATTTTCATTGAATATTTTGCCCAATTCTCAGGTTGGAGGAGCGCGACGTCACCGACAGTACAGAGCGTGAAGTACAACGGCAATTGATTGCCTTCCAAAAACAATCCAAACAATCCAAAATATCGACACAGGAAGATTGGCTCACCAAATTCATATCCATGACTTACGTGCTGCCATTCTGTATAACTATCTCAACGAGGGTAAGCAAGAATGTTGTGCAGAGATGGACGAACATAAATCGTCGATTTTGTATCAGTATGTCCGTGACTGTATGTGTGGTGCTACACTGGGTATGCTGTTTGTGTGTTTTCACGAGTTAGAAAATGAATAGACAACAAAAATCATTATGATGGACGTCCAGTTGCTTCCGGCAGCTTGTCACGGTACGTTGGCCACAATTTTGTATTTGTACTTTCTCTCAACCTTGCTAGTTGGGCTTTCACGTCCGAATTTGGATCACGAAATTTCCATGCGCGCAGTTGTCATCGCCGGGTTCTGCGTACGACGATACGCCATTGATATTCGCGTTTATGTAAATCTTTATACATGTACATCTAATCTCACATATTTGCACGTCTATATTTATGTGTTTTTCATTTATGTGCAATGTATGTAATTCCATGAATGATAAACGATATTTCATGTGAATACATATATACATATCTACTCTCACACACACACATACATACACACACACACACACACACACACACTATATATATATATATATATATATATATATATATATATATATATATATATATATATATATATATATATATATATATATATATATATATATATATATATATATATATATATATATATATATATATATATATATATATATATATATATATATA